GAGTGGGGTGAAGCTGCGGGCTCTCTCTGGGCTGGGGGCTCTCTCTGGGCTGGGGGCTCTCTCTGGGTTGGGGGCTCTCTCTGGGCTGGGGGCTCTCTCTGGGCTGGGACCCAGGGCCATGGACTGAGCGGCCCATCCTACACATTCATAATATTGTAACCAAAATCTATTGTTACACATTCCTCTGCATACACAATACCCATTTGTACAACTGGATATTTTGAAAATGATCTTTAAACTGTATTTTTACCTATTTTTTGTCTTACAGTATGTCTATAACTGTCGTTGTCTAAATATATTTCATATTCATGCTTATATGCTGTTTATCAATATCAAAGTCATTACTTCATCTCAGTATATGACCCATGCAGTGACAAAATAGATACTTTGGCTTTGAGACATTCTGCATTTCCACATTCACAGATAGTATTCAGATTATAATTCCGTGGTAAGACCCCACCTATAGGAAGTTGAGCCTATCTACACGTATGGCTTTTTGACAGGTGTATGCTCGCGATTTATTTGCCTACATCTCCTAAGAGGCTTTGGCCAAGGACATCTTTTAAACAAACAAATGTAAATGCTTTCGCTTCTGAAACCATCTGTCTTGTCACATATAAATAACACGCACGCAGTTTAGCGCCGCCTTAATTGCTCACATTTTGGCAACGCGGTGTCTTAATTGCTTAGATTACCATCATCAAGGAAAGTAAAGCGCACCGCAAACCGCAATCGGAATTTCTGGACTTTTGAAACGAACATTAAATCTAGTCTGTAATGACACCAAGCGTTTAAAACGTGGCACTGAAAAACATTAAAGGCTAGAACTGATAGAACATTACACGTTCAGAACGGATGCGATTCCACGAAATGCCAGAATGAAATATGCCATAATGTTCTCGTAAACTTACAGTATTGTTTTTTTTTTTATCTATTTCAAGCGTGAAGGCATGCTAAGATAAAATCTCGAATCGATATGTAGCACGATTATGTCCACGTTAACATTAGATGCTAAAGAATTCAACAATATATCTCTAGCAGGGCCCCTGGGTGTTGCATACATGGGTGTAACATCCTGCGTGTGACACCAGTGATTAATGCTAATGCCATCAAATTAATATACTAATGAATACCAGCAGATAAACATAGAAATCGATCTCTGCTAATATATTGTTTGTTAATTTTGCATATCTGTAAATAAATATTCTTGTTCCATTATTAGCGTTACGTGGTGCCACTGGTTGTATAGATGTAGTTATGGCAAGGCTTTTGTTATTTTGGATGAAAGATCTTACTTTAAGTGTCATTAAATACATATGGCTCTGTGTGTATAGTTCGCATGTTCTCCCCGTGTCCTCGTGGGGTTTCCTCCGGGTACTTCGGTCTCCCCCCACAGTTCAGAAATATGCTAAGGTAAATCAGAGTTAACAAACTGTCCATAGGTGTGTGAGTGTGGCCCGCGATGGGTTGGCACCCCATCCTGGGTAATTCCCTCTCTTTCGCCTGCAGCTTCTATCGGATATAGGCTCCGGACCCCCTTCGATCGTAGTTCAGCACCAAGATGGCTTAATTTAGGGATTCATTAAACTGATTTTAAAAATGTATCCACCTCAATTACCACCTCAAATGGAAAATGGGCCAGAAAGAGAACATTTCCTACTCGTGTCACTTCGCATGAACGTTTTCCCAAAGTCAAGGACGTTTCTGCTTTGACCCATCCTACTGCTTTGACCCATCCGTAACGCATAAATAAAAGTTGTGTCATCCATGCAGTCTTGTTTTCCCACAGTTTCATAGTGGGTTTTCCTTAAATGAGTCGGTCTGCATGACTGGTAAAAAACTACTGTAGATGTGATGCTTTGGATTACAACATAAGTAAACTGTAAACCTAAAGGCATATGATATTGTCTATTTGGTTAACTGGTATTAGGCTACGTGAATCCTCATAGTGATCACGATATCACAGGCATTCTTATTATAAAATGTAATTACCGCATCTGACTATTTCCGATGAATCATTCGCAGTGACTGAAATAAACTAAACAGAAGTGCAGTTACTTCTGTTTTTCGGGGCGCTCCGTGGCTTCAGCTCTCGGTTTGGTTTGTGACTGAGCGTCAGTAAAATTAACCATTATTGCTGAAATTTCAGTGATTTTTTCCCATTTCACTAAACATAAGCCATCTGGGATCATGTGATAAAGACATTTGTTATGTAATAACAATTACGCTACATAACTATTCCGGATAACGCCAGGCATCTCCGACGAAATAGGAGATTCGGTTATGGTATCCAAATACAGACATTTCGTATTCCTAAGTCTAAATATTTTCTAAAATGGGTATCCAATAATAATTTAGGTATATGGCCGTCACTGCAAACTTATTACTCGAAATAAATTACTCGAGTAGCCTATACTCTTCTATAAATGGAAATACTCCATAAAGCTCACTGAGGCCAGTTACAGGAACCGGTTATGTACATAATGTCTTAATATGATAACATTTACTAATAAAATGCATAGACTACTGTAATATGATTATCATTACAATATACAATTTATTGTACTGCAAAAGTAACCACAGTATACTTGAACTGAATTTGTCCCGAAAACATGGGAGTTGTTTTATTAATAAAGCCCTTTCAGTGGTATGGAGCTGCTTAACTGACGCTTTTCTGCAAACCGCATGGTGAAAGAGCCGTTTACATATCCGTCACCAAACCCCCCCCCACACACACACACACACACACACCCACACACACACACACACACACACACACACTTACGCAGATATCACTATCAGGACTGCAGCTATGATTTTAAATCAGAATTTAAATTGGGCGACTTTCGGCTCACATGTTGTTTGTTTAACGGGTTTAGTCTAAAAAAATCCCAGTCGAGGGCGTAGAAGACAGTTTGATATTTTTTGAGGAGGGCACAACTAGCCTACTCATTTAAATGCAAACGTTAATTTTTTGGGGGAACAAGTAAAGCTAAATTAAATAGTGTAGTGAGGGGCGTGGAAAGTATCTGCTATCTGATGAGTTGCATCTGAAAAGGATGGAGGGGCGTCTGGTTTGAAAGGGGGGCTAGGACAGATAAGGAGGGACCGGGTTGATTCCAGTGTTAAAACAGGAGAGGAACCGCTCTGTTAACTGTGGCTAATGTGGTCTGGGGAGCGCGGTGTGTATGGGGCGTCGGGACTGTGGGGCGGTACCACGGCACAGAACTTCCCCGTTCTTGAGGCAGTATTTTTCAGGCACGTTCCATCTTTAACCGATATGCTGCTGACCTGTTGACGCCAGATCAGCTCCGTGAGTTTTAAAAAGTGGTCCTGAATCAGCGCACGACGGATCGCTCCATGAAAGTCGCTGTCCAGACGATCAAAACGTATTGCGTGCTATATATATACAGACTGCGACATGTGCACATTTACAACAGTTATATGACGAAGTGCACGAGCTTTGGACTTTACACATACATTGGAAAATATCGGAGACTGTACAATTATCCTGTCGGTGGGCACGTACAGTAAAGCGAAGCCAAGTTGCGACGCATGCGCAAACCCGAACAACTTTAGAGCAGAACAAAGTTTCAAAGCTCACGAGGAAGCGAGGGGAGGAATGGAAAGCATGCGTAGGGAAGAGGGAGAGTGAGTAAGGCGTGATTCAGCGCTTCGGGAAGTATCTGCGCTGGAGCCGCGCGGCGCACACCCACGTGCAAAGTGTGTCCCAATACCTAAATTTTACATTATAAGAATCCGGTTAACTTACGTCTAGGAGAAACGATTTCAAATATAGCGCCCTGAGCATTCGTATGGATTCGGGGCTGACTGCGGAATCGACTTCTTCGAGTACCTAGGGAACGGGGGGAGACCCAGAAGGTAGGTGCCGCTTTCGCGTTAAACACCCCTTGGTCACCTTATTCGTCTTATATCTATATATAAATAATAAAGGTGTAACGATTTGTTGAAGTATTCTAAGGTGTGACAGGCAAGAAAGAAAAGCGAAATGCATAAATACCAAGTCGGTTCGCCAGGAATCAGGAAGGTGAAACGTGTCAGGACATTAACATGGAGCGCCTTAACTGTGTTTTTGCTTAGACGTCCTAAAATAAGAAACGCGTTGCAAAGTGGCACCTTTCGTGTCATTTATATGAATGCACATTTTTAAAGAGGCGTAAATTATCTACCTGCTGTCACAGGTAATCAACGTAGCACCTAAGATGGAGTAGCGATGCTGGGCTCCTGTCCTTTCAAGCACTTATTTCCAGTTTTTTTTTTTTTTGGTTTATTTTCTGTCCAATTTCAGAAATGCTCGTTTGGAGATGTGTTTTTCTTACCATTATTAGTGGCTGCGTGAAAATACCACACTAGTTAGGATCCTTTGTTTCTCGCTTTCTGATTTTCCCTAAGCGTTCCCTGTTTCGGCATAGCATCCTCACAGGTCACGGTAACAACAGCCAGAATTTTGCACATTTAACTAGCAGTATCTACCTCTTATGCATGGTAGGCAACGCTAACGTGAATACTGTTGCTTCATTTTATGCTCGACTTGGGCCACGTTACTGTTGATGGGAGGGGAAGTTGTATGTTGTAGCCACACTGAAATGTTGCTGCAACAGGATCCCTAAAATTATTGTGTGAAGTGCGTCTTAAGTCGAATAAGGGAATCTGATGCACTGTGGCTCTAGCAATGGATACAGAAGGCAGATTCATACAGAGCAAGGGGCCTAAACTTGAATAAATGAATGACATGACAGAATGTGGATACATTCATTCATCAGTTCATTTCCCGTGCTGCTTATTCAGAGCAGGAGTGAGAGTGCTTGGGGTTTAACACAGGAGTTACCTTGGGTGGTGTGTCAGTCCATCACAGGCACGCATACACACACGTTTGCATTCATATCTTTGTGGGGACTCTCCATTCATTTCTATGGGCATAACCCTAATCCCAGCTATGACAACCTTAACCCCTATCCAGCCCTAACCTTAACCATATGTAACCAACCAAAATACAAGACTTTTTAGTTTTTCGATTGCAGTTACAGATTTTTTATAAAACTGAGCTTTCCCTTGTGGGGGCCGAAAAGGTGGTCCCCACAATGTCAGAATAACAGCTTTTTATGTTTGGTCCCCACAATGTAATATATGCAAGACACGCACACACACTATGAACAATTTAAGCACATAATTTCCTGTAATTGCGTACCTTTGGGCTGTGAGAGGGACCTGGGAAGCTGGGCCTGGGGAGAACCATCTCCGCAGATAGAGTAGGGTTGGTGTAATCAATCAATCAATCAATCAATCTATCAATCTATCTATCTATCTATCTATCTATCTATCTATCTATCTATCTATCCCTAATTTTAAATATCAAGAGTGTAATAAATCTGTTCTCTTAACGCGTTTCAGACATAGATATGATAGATATACAGATGCAGTTTTTGACCTAAAAACTCATTGTCAGTATGATTGGCTGATAGTCCTTGACAACATGCACAAAGGTCTGACAGTTTGCACTGCTGTCATTGATGCCTGACGCCTCCACGGGGCCAATCTGACCCCAGCCAGTTTGCATGTTGGCCCTGCACCACCTACATACTTTCGTTATCCTCCACATTCCAAAGGAGGGCATTTCCAGTGAATTTACAGCACCACCCACCCCACCCTTATCAGTTGGGAATTCTGGGAATGGCTCCAAGTAACACTGAGCTTAAAAATGGCTTGGCGAATGAAGACGTGGTGAAATGATCATACCACAGGTTACTCACGCAGTTAAAAACTTACCTAACTCCTGCCTGACAGTCTGTAGCACTCTGTCTTGAAGGCAGGAATATTAACAGGTGTAGTTTAAATGTACTAAAGTTAATTTGATCGATAGCTGCAGAGTAAGACCAAGCTTACGTTTCTGTGTGACGCTCTTACATCTGCAGGCTTTCGTTTGTCGTTTGCTTGTTTCTTTGGGTTCGTTTTCTGTGCTCGTGCCCAGAAGGGACAGCTTCTCTGCTTTGATGCTCAGTCGGTTTTTCTGTCCCCCCCCCCCCCTTTGAGTGATGGTTGGGGTGACGGAACTTCTGCTCTTAATAACGTCTCCCATTAGTCACGCTGTCATAGCCAATTCCTGTTTTTTCCTTCCTTTTTACAAACTCTGCATTTGTGTGTTCGGCAGCCGGCAGTAGACATTTATCACAAGTAGTAGTGACTAATACCATGAATTTGGCTCTTCAATTTGCCTCTGTAGTCATTTAATCTATATGTAGTGATTCGGGAAGGAGAGCGTTTGGTTTACAAACAGTGTAATTTAGGTAACAAATCTCAGTTCAGATTGTTTACGGAAAGTGATGCACGTATATTGCACTTATCCAAAGCAACATACAACTGAGAGGGCAGACAGTCCCTGCGGCAAATGCGGTTAAGAGCCTTGCTTTAGGCCTCAGCAGTACAATCACCCAGGGGATTTGAACCAGTGACCATATGAACATAGGCACAGCATCCTAACCCACAGAGCCACCAACCAAGCCATAAGATATTGTTTTATTAATGCAACAGGGCATTCCCTAGTGGGGAATATGAGAACTGAATAAGGGATTTTGAAATGTTTATCAAAGAAAAAACTGTAATTCATCCATCCATCCATCCATTCATAACTGAAGTGAATCACTTTTACCTTTTCCAGTGTCTGCAAGAGCCACAGGAACAAAAAGCTAATGTCGTATAAGTGTGTTTGAAAGCAGCATAAGCCTGGTTGTTCTGTGAAGCATGTTCTAAGCCGTCTGTGACTCGCAGCACCTGGGCACTGTTGGCACTGCAAAGTCACACGCTCACGTTATTAGAAACGTGGACATGTTCTCTCCCTGTGCCGCCGCTATTTTAATAACTGCTCTCACTGAACAGAGAGATGAATAATTCTCACGCTCACACAATGTGGTCAGCATAAACCGCACATGGTCCTAGATCCTACCCTGCGCTTTTTCAGCTAAGGAATTCTGTTTGAAATTGGATCCATGGTTTACAGAGACCCCTGAAATCCTCGACAATGCTTGCCGCAGTTGTTTTGCCTGGTAATAAGGCACATTTCCAAGACACAACCAGACATGTTTTGGAATGGATGAGGCCAGCTGCCATAACAACCCAGGCCTGAACTTGTATCTGCTCAGCCTTTCAGAAGCCGGATTGGCGGCGGATTGGTCTCCAATGCCACTAAATATCTTTGTGCACCCCCAAGGGACCTTGGCACGCCGGGCAGGTCTCCCATGCCACTAAATATCTTTGTGCACCCCCAAGGGACCTCGGCACGCCGGGCAGGTCTCCCATGCCACTAAATATCTTTGTGCACCCCCAAGGGACCTCGGCATGCTGGGTAGGTCTCCAATGCCACTAAATATCTTTGTGCACCCCCAAGGGACCTCGGCACGCTGGGTAGGTCTCCCATGCCACTAAATTTCTGTGCATCCTTCTACCTAACATAATGATTGATGGTGTGCAATTAAACATTTTTATAGTTTATCAGACAATTGTAGCAAAAACAGCAAATATTCAACAACATTTTGTTTGAAATCTACAACAGCGATTCACAAGCATTCTACTGGAATCCACAGCAGCAATTCACAAGCATTCTACTGCAATCCACAGCAGCGATTCACAAGCATTCTATTGCAATCCACAGCAACCATTTGCTTACATTCTATTGAAATCCATATCAGCTGAAAACCAATATTTTATTGGAATCAACAAAACCCATCTACCAGCATGGCATTGGAACAGCAACTGTGCACCAATTGTGAAGCACTAGATACCGTTTAATCTTTTGCTTTCTGTGAGCTCAGTCATAACAATCAGAGGTTGCAGCCATCCAGCTGGTGGCGGACAGGACAGTGGTAATACTGCCATGGTAGTCCCCAGAAAACAGCATACAGTGTGGTTTGCAATCACCCGTGACTGGATGCCTTCTGCTACATGGTCTGCGTATCTGACAGTGTGTGAGAAGCGAAGGAACCGCTGCTGAACAGCCAGGACCCTGAACTTTGCCTGCAGACGAGCAGATATATTTACCCGTGATCTTATATAACAGCGAAAGGCACTTTCCAGATCGCCTTGAAGGAACCTTTTTTTTATTTTATTTTCCTGCCAATGAACTGCATAATTTTAACAGCTATTCCCCCGATGAAGCAAGTATGGCAGCAGTTTTACAGTTTTTAATCCTCGTTGTGTTTGACACTTATAAAAGCATATGTTGTTTTTAACCATTAAGGAACAGTTTTTGCACAGATAACTGTATGTACTGCACTGGGCTGGCTTTTTGCACAGATAACTGTGTGCGCTGCACTGGGCTGGCTTTTTGCACAGATAACTGTGTGCGCTGCACTGGGCTGGCTTTCAATCACACAGCTGGATTCCAAAGACTAATGAAGTCCACAGATGGTGCACAGTTGATATGTATTGTTCACTAACTTCTAGAGACTTTGGACATAAACTGCACTTTTTCATCATGTAACACATCATGTTACCAATTAGATTTGATAAGATGAACTTTATTTATCCCATGACAGAAGAGCAGGTAGGTTTAGGCTTGGATCCTAGCTCAGGCGCAGGTCTTTGCATATCGTCTGTCAGACAGCGACAGCCTCGGCAGGTAGGGGCAGACAGGAGATGATGTCATCACAGCCTACAGGTCTGTACTAATTACAGGCCCAGCAGCCGTCTGAGAGGCGCGAGTCAGGGCCGGCCTCTTGGCTGCGTGGGACCACAGCCCAAACTCGGAAATCGGAACAAAGAAATAAACAAAAATAAACTTTCTACAAGTTGTTTTATCCTGGGAACCCATTGAATGAAATACAATTCTCTTAGCACAAGTTAGGCGACACCGAATCACATAATCATTCATGAGGACCTGAGGGCCCCGAACGAGTATAAATATAATGCCGGTGCCTCTCCGCCAGGACGCTGGACGTTTCTCAATTGGAGAGACTGAGCTGCTCCTTCGCCTCTTTCGCTTCCAACACATTACATAAGAGTGAGCCTGTGTGGGCTGGGCTTTATGTAAGGAGACCCTGAGCACTCGGACCGTGTCTGTCTGCTTTTATATAAATTACATTGTGTCCACGATGTGATAAACCTGTTATTTTGACCTTGTGGGGACCATTTTTTTCGGTCCTTGCAAGGGGAGACTCAGTTTGATAAAAATCTGTGACTGTAGTCAAAAACCTGAGATTTCAAAAGTCTTGTATTTTGTCTGGTTACTTATGGTTACAGATAGGGCTGTATAAAAAACAGTTTGCTATTAGAATATCTACAAATGAACAGCAAGAATTTCTTCTGTTCTCCAAATAGTCACCGATGCCGTGCTGGATGGCCAGATGATCGCTGCTTCAGTTCCCAAACTTCTCCTCAGGGGCACCGCAGCCATTCTGTGAATTTGTTAGATTTCACCACCAGCTAAATTAATTAACTTAGTTAAATAATCTAATGAGGTACTGGTTACCCAAACAAGGTGTGCTAGTGGGTCAGTCAACAAATATGTGGGTATTTGGATGGTTGCTGTAAATGACTTTAGGAGAGGTTTTGAAGTGGCTATGCTGACACACTCTGACAGACATACTATAACCAACACCAACGTGAAGATCATTTAAACATCATTTTCTTTGACTGCCTAAGACTTTGGCACAGTACTCTATGTAGTTATTCATCAGCGTTTGACCAGAAGTTTTAAAATTCCTCCGAAATCGATTCAGAGAGCGCCCTGCCTCCCTCGAGCTGGCAGGCGTGCTCGCCGGAAGCTGTGTGTGGCAGTAAGAGTCGTGCCATCTTTTAAAACAACACTAACAGCGATTAATAATAGAATCGATTTTGCTGCCCCCGTGTCCGTGTGGAGAGCTGGACTCGGCTGTAGGTGTCCCGCTGTGACACATCTCTTTGTATTTTTCTGATCCTCCTGCCTGTTGTCCTCCCGTCTGCCCCCCCCCCCCCCCTCGAACCCAGGGCCAGCCCTACCTCACTCTCTCTAGTGACGTTTCTCAGAATGTCAGCTTGACCTGCTGGGGTCTATCCTGGGTAATCCGGTCTCTCAGAGACAGCCAGCCCCCCCACTCCCCAGTGCTACATTTCTCCACTGGTGTTTCTGAAACCTCATCTACAGTGTAAAACCTAAAGGGAATTCCGTCCTGTTTCTGGACGGCAGGAGCAGGCGCTGAGGCTCTCGCTGACGGGGTCTGCAGGCCTGAGCAGACTGACATTAGGGCAGTTATGGTGCCATGGGCTGGGAGTCGAGAGGAGGGGAGACTATGGCTGGTCCCTGCGTACTGGGAGCTGTGGTTGAAAGTCCTCAGAATGTCTGTGAGAAGTGGACATGGAAATGAGGAGTAATCACGGCCGGCACACGTCTGTCTTGCACGTCCTGCGGCCGGGGGGGAGGGGGGGGTTCCCAGGATGGGGAGGAAAGAATGGAGGAAAAAAGAGGAAGTGCACGTGCTCTAGACCAGGATGGATGAAAAGGGAGAATCATTTTGCGTGAACTCAGCGGCATGACTCAGACACAGCTGACAGAACACGCTGGTCCAGTCAGCAGTTCTGGCCGGTTTCGTTTGGTCAGCATTAGTTCTATGGTGCTTCTTCAGAAGGTTATTTAGCCTGTTCATAAGCCGCCACTGAGTCCTGCTCTGGCTGTGAGCCAGCCAGGGTGCGTGAATGCCTGTCCTGCCTGCCCCCCAGATGCAGCAGGACCCCGTGTACGACTACCCCGAGCCGCAGCGCGAGAAGCGCGTCTGCCCTCTGCGCGGCTCCCTGAAGAGCATCAGTGTGCTGGACCGCCTGCTACTGACGCATCCCGTCTGGCTGCAGCTGTCCATCAACGCGGCGGCGGCCCTGCATGTCCTGCAGAGAGAGCCGCCCAGGGTGAGGCGTGCGGACACACAGGAAAGAACACACACACACACAGACAGAGACACACACACACAGACAGAGACACACACACACAGGCACACATACACATGCAGACACACAGACACAGGCA